AAGATGGAGAAGAGCAAGTCTTATTACCTGTGCACGTCTCTCTCCACGCCCGCACTGGGCGCCGGCGGCTCCGGGTCTGCGAGTGGCGCCGTCGGGGGCAAGGGTGGCGCGGGGGTGGCCGGACTCCCGCCTCCCCCATGGGCCGAGACCACCTGGATTTACCACGATGGTGAGGACACCAAGATGATCGTGGGCGAGGAGAAGAAGTTCCTGCTGCCCTTCTGGCTGCAAGTGATCTTCATCTCGCTGCTGCTGTGCCTGTCAGGCATGTTCAGCGGCCTCAACCTGGGGCTTATGGCTCTGGACCCGATGGAGCTGCGCATCGTGCAAAACTGCGGCACCGAGAAAGAGAAGAATTACGCCAAGCGCATCGAGCCGGTGCGCAGGCAGGGCAACTACCTGCTGTGCTCGCTGCTGCTGGGCAACGTGCTGGTCAACACCACGCTCACCATCCTGCTCGACGACATCGCGGGCTCAGGCCTTGTGGCGGTGGTGGTCTCCACCATTGGCATCGTCATCTTCGGGGAAATCGTGCCCCAAGCCATTTGCTCTCGACACGGCCTGGCAGTAGGGGCCAACACTATCTTCCTCACCAAGTTTTTCATGATGATGACCTTCCCCGCATCTTACCCGGTTAGCAAACTGCTGGACTGCGTCCTGGGCCAGGAGATAGGCACTGTCTATAACCGGGAAAAACTGCTGGAGATGCTCCGGGTCACTGACCCCTATAACGACCTCGTTAAAGAGGAACTGAACATCATCCAAGGGGCTCTGGAGCTCCGCACCAAGACGGTAGAGGACGTGATGACTCCCCTCCGGGACTGTTTCATGATCACTGGCGAGGCTATCTTGGACTTCAACACCATGTCTGAAATCATGGAGAGTGGCTACACGCGAATCCCAGTGTTCGAGGGAGAGCGTTCCAACATCGTGGACCTGCTCTTTGTCAAAGACTTGGCCTTCGTGGACCCAGATGACTGTACTCCCTTGAAAACCATCACCAAATTTTACAATCACCCCTTGCACTTCGTCTTCAATGACACCAAGTTGGACGCTATGCTGGAAGAATTTAAGAAAGGTGAGAAATTTTGCTTTTTTTTTTTTTAAATTGGCTCTTCTCTTTCTGCCTCCATCCTCCTCCCTCCTTGAGTCCTCTACCCCCAGACCAACCCCCCAGGGAGAGTTGACCGGAATTTCTCCTTCTTCTAATTGCACAGCTGAAAGGGTGGCACGGAATTGGGGACGGATTGAACTAGTAAGCACTTCTGGGTTTAAAAGCCCGAGACTGTCATTACTTTTCCCACATCATCAAAAAACAAGCTTTGTAATTTCAGTGCATGAAACTTGACCCCCTTGGGGCCTCTGGTCTTGAGGGATCTACTTCATTCATTGTCTGGCTTCGAAATAGGTAGGTGAAAGTACAGGCTGGCTCCCGAGATGCCCTTCGGTTATATCTGATACAGACATTTGGAGAATATTTAAGCAGCCTTTAAAAACCCAGTGTAATCCTTTTCCTCTTCCTCAAACATCCACATTGACATTTCGAAGATTGGCAGTGTAATTTTGGTGAATTTTGTTCTTGGCTGTCTGGCATCCTGCAGGGTAGATTGAGGTCTTTTGTGGGTGGAGCAGGGGTAAAGAAAGAACCATTAAAACCCCCACTTTATTTGGATGTGACTTCTCTACCTGGAAAAGAGGGGTTTTGCTTTGTTTAAAGCAAACTTCATCATTACCATCTGACTTGGAGAGGCTGGAGGTGAGTTAACTCTTGACACAGCTGTGTCTGCCCGCCTTTCTTTACTGCTTACAGTTATCTGTCACCAATGAAATTTCCTAAAGCAAGAGTGGTTTGGGTAGAAAAGTCGAACCTGTGACAGCCATGTGCATACTGTTCTTCATCGTGATTTATTCCTTGATTTTTTCGTCAGTTTAAAAATGTTCTTTTAATCTCAGATCCTTGATACATTAACATGAAGTACACCTCCAAATCAGCTCTCCAGGTTCTAGGGTATTGACTGGGAAGAGGCCCAGCGCCTGGTGTTTGAGTGTTCACAGCACACCGTTTCTTGCATTGTAGTATTGCATGTCTTAATTTGTCATAAATAGGTAAATGGCAAGCTGTACTATTAGTATTGAGACTTTGGAAGTTTCCAGTAAGTAGCTAGTGCAGTTAAAACCAAGGGATGCTGAGTTTTGTCATTGGTGCTTGGCACGCACCGGCATTGCAAAGTGTGTGTAACCTTGCATGACCCAAAAACTAAATTCCCATTCTTCGCATGGAATTTCAATCACTAATGGGGTTGCTACCCTGACAAAAGCCATATGTACCTGGTGACAGCTCACTGGATGTGATCATTTGAACATACAGTGTGTGTGCTTGTCATTGCTCCCTTTTCTTGGATGAATGGTGTCCTCTCTGGAACAGGACCACAATGCAGTAATTTTCATATAAAAAAAATAGAGCAGAATGTGCTTCGGGGCTTAGTCATTTGCATTTAAAAGCAGGAGGAGAAAAAGAAAATGTCCAGTATCTCTAGCTACAGAGAGCATTTGGGGTATCCGTTGACTGCCAAGCTGTTTATTAGAGCACTGAACTAGCGTCTTCTCTCTGCCACACAGGAAGACGTCTTGAATGCTTCAGGATGCCCTGAAGTCCCAGTGCATGCACAGTTTCTTACGTCCTTTTTTGTTGTTGTTGTTTTTGTTCTTGTTCAATTTTTTTTTGCTTATTACCTTATATATTGCTATTACTAGGCTGGGTCCAGCATGATGATGTGAACCTGTGGTTCCAGTTATGTGAGAGACTGAGGCTGGAGGATTGCTTGAGTCTAGAGTTCCACATAGGCCTAGTCCGTTAAAACAAAACAAACCCCAACACTCACATAGTTTGTACTCCCTGCTAGAGGCTTTCTTTACTTCTGTATCTGTTTACTTTCTACTCCTACTCAAAGTTTAAAAAATTTTATATGATTTTAAAATTTGTTATTGGTTGGTTGTGCTTGAGCCAGGTTTCTGTGGCTGCTTTAATTTTTTAATTGTAGGAGGAGTTATTTTCCACTCAGAGTCACCTCTCAACGTTAACCCTCTTGGTCAGGGTCTGGCCAAGAGGTTTTTATGTACCTGACCCTTTGAACTCATGACCCCTCCTGATTCAGTCTTCCAAGTATTGGGGTCCCAGGTGCTCACCACGCAGCCTGGCTCTCAGTACCTTTTGAAACGTGTTCTTCAAGTGATGGAAATATTGGTGTTTTCCTATAAGTTCTAGAAAAATAACACCATTTCACTTCAGTTCTTATCCAATGAGATGCGCAGTGTTTGGTTAAGAAGCAGAGCAAGTGGAAGATGCGTTCGGTCTAGTAACTGATTCTGAAAAGCAAAGACAGTGGCAATTGGAAAGTTAAGCCATGTTTTTAAAAGAACAAAATGGCTGTTTGCTACTTCAGCAATTCCCTTTGATTTTTTAAAGATGAATTTGGTCAATTTAACTTTCCAATCACTTATATTAGTTCTGTTTTTTTAATTAAAATTATTTATTTAATTTTATGTGATTGTGTATGTGCCTGAGTGTGTGTATGTGCACCAAGTACTTGCAAAGGTCATAGTTGTCAGATCCCCTAGAACTGGAGTTACTAGGTTGTGAGCCAGCTGCCGTGTGGGTGCTGGGAACCGAACCCAGGTCCTCTGCATGAGCAATAAGTACTTAACTACTGAGCATCTCTTTAGCCCCTGTCCTTTTCTTTTAGAAAAAAGTTTATGAAACCACATTCAACTCTCAAACTCTTAAAAACAAAAGAAAGACAAGAGAAAAGAAACACAAAAATTGAAACAATGACATTTTTGTTTTGAAAGCAATTTTGACAAATTAAAAAAATATTTTATATTGGTTTTACCAGTTCACAACACTCTTTTATACTCTGGTGTAGTAATACTTTTACATACTATATATGATGCTATTTTTGCTATACTAACAGAAAGTTATAATTAAATTTGTAGGTACTTTTTAAAGCAGGTATTAATATATTACTCAGGTATTAGTTCTTTTTAATGTATGAGAAATAGTTCACCTGATTTTCTTTTCATGATCTGCTAGTTCAGATATAACTTTTTCTAATGTATTGGGTATTGAACTCCTGGCAGCTCTGTACCAGTGGGCTTGCCTCAGCTCTGGGAATTAATTAAAAAAAATTTAAAGTTTATTTATTTAATTATGTATATGTGTGCAGAGCTCAGAGGACAACTTATGGGAGTTGGTTCTCTCCTTTCACTCGGGTCAGGCTTGGCAGCAAGCACCTTTATCGGTTGAGCCACCTCACCAGCCCCTGCTACCGTCTGTTTTATGTTTGTGATAAATAATGCACGGTGTGTGGGATGCTCTGAAAACTTTCCTCTCCCTTTTCTCCTCTTATCTCCATTTTTAAAAAACAGAAAGAGAATAAAACAAACACTCCACAATCACCCTATAACCCCAGACTGGTTAGATCATTAACCCAAATCTCATTGGAAATTCCCTGGATAATTGAGCTGGTCTCTGCTGAAGCTTTTCTTAGTCGATGTTGGTAATCAGTCTGATTTAGTCTTCACCAAGGTGGTGGAAATGAAAGATTTGGTAACTGGAAAGAGATGCTGCTATTGTGAAAGCATCTTGAGTGTCTCCTTTTAGTGACCAGGACTTTTAAACTCTAGGTAACTTGTCGCTTTGCTTGAGAGCAGAAGGTAGTAATGGTGCTAACTTTATAGTTTGATCATCGTGGTGGTGATAAGGATGGTTTTGTGCCATTAGGGTCTGCCAGGCACAGGGCTGAAGGTGTCTGTGAAGAGTCGTGTCGAAATCTCACATCTGATGTGGTGTTATCCCTATGTTACCAGTGCCGACAGTTGAGGCTTAGAGTGCATGATTTGTTTGAGGTCACATAGTAATTCACTGATACGGGGTTTTAATTCATGTCTGTGTGACACCAGAATTAGTTATTTGTTTTTGTTTATATGTTTATTCCATGTGCTGAGCTACACCTCTAGCCGCAGAACTCACTCTCTTAATCATTCTCTTATAACTAATTTCAAATACTGACTGATATTTGTGTTATTTTAAATTTATTTATTTTTATTTTATATATGAATATGTATGGACCCTATGCTCATGCCTGGTGCCCGTGGGAGTCAGAAGAGGGCATCGCATCCCTCAGAACTGGAGTTAAGGATGCTTGTGAACCACCGTGCAGGTGCTGGGTGCTGGTGGGTCCTCTCCAAGAGCAGCAAGCGCCCTAAGCACCGAGCCAGCTCTCCAGCCCCAGCGTTTCTGTTTTAATGAGTGTGAGATTTGGTCTTCTGTCAAAACATTGCCTCAGAGCCTTTTGGGCAATAGGCTTTGTGTTTATATGTGATTATATGTGTTTACATGTGTTTATATGAAATGTGTTTTTGTTGCTTTAGAGCCAGTGCTTTGGTGATAGTGGGTAGAGGTTGGTGTCCTCCTTTTAAATATTGTAATATTCTGAGGCTTTTGCTTGTATGACCTCAATATCATTTTTTTTTTTTAATTTGGTGAGAGTTACACGTCCAGCACTGAGATCCGTCATGGCTGTTTTGCAGCAACATATACTCTAGCGTGCTGCTGTACCACGGCTTTCTTTTATTGCTTTATGTATATGAGCGTTTTGTCTGCAGGTAGGTTTGTGCACCACAGGCATGCCTGATGCCCAAGGAGGTGGTGAGCCTCCAAGTGGGTGCTGGGAATCTAACCAGGGTCCTTCAAAACAACAAGTGCTCTTAACTCCTGAGTCAAATCCTCACCCCCCAGCAGTTTTCTAATGGCTCAGTTATGTAACAATGTTTCCCCTGCTTTCTTACCTGTTTCCCCTTTGAGTCACTCAATAATCTGTCAAATGATTTTATCTTTGTTGTTTTGCAGTTGCCATATTAACGCTTGGTTGCTAATGGCCTCCTTTTCAGGCTCATTTCTCACAGAGCACTGGCTCCCGTTGAATGGTAGTTGCTTACAAATCTAAATAAGAAAATAGCTCCGCAAGTCACAGGAGAAGATGAGAGAGCTCAAGAAAACTGTCTAAAGCAAAACAATGCAGTGGGAAGAAAACCTTAACAAAACCCTGCTTGTTTGGTGCACAGCAGCCTGTTGGGCTCCTCCCTTACCTGTCGTTACCTTCTTATCAAAGGGTTGTGGGCTCTAGCCGCCCAGGTATCTACACCCAGGTGACTTTGAAGAATTAGTAACCAGTTACTGGGTTTTTTTCCCCTTTCTTTTTTTTTTCTCTTCCTTGTAACAATTACTTGGTGGGGTTCTTCTCAGCCTAGGATTTAGTCTGAAACAGGTGACTACCTAATGGTCTTTGAAGGGTGCATGCATACTTTCCATTTACAACATTAGGTATGGGCTGGGGCGGTAGCTCAGTTGGTATGGTGCTTATCTAGCATGTACAGAACCCTGGTTTCAGTCCCCAGCACTATATAAATTTGGCATGGTGACATATATTTGTAATTTTAGAACTTGGGAGGTGGAGACAGAAGGGTCAGAAGTTCAAGGTCATCCTTGGCTACATAGTAAGTTTGAGTCCAGTCCAGGGTATGTGGGACTCTATCTTAAAAAACATAAACCCATTAGGTACATAATTCTCTGTTTCTGCAACTTGGTGAGTCTTTCTCTGTGACTATGTTAAGAGTTTAATATGGAAATATTTTTTCCCTTCACCAAATTCGATGTTCTATTTGTCTAGAATGTAGAAGAATGTTTTAAAAAGATGTGAATGGTATCAGAAGTAGATTTGTATATTTCTATGCTCTTATTTTTGTGGGTGCAGTACCATATATTAGACTGTTGTAATTTTGCATGCTTTTCTAATGTACGTGAGAAGTCAGATAGTATAGAATTGGAGTGGGAAGGTGCGCAGCTTGAAGACCTTCTAGGCCAATGTTTGCCGATGTTCTCACCAGGTGACAGATGTTTTCACACCAGCTTACAAGACTTATTTGGGTCTCTTATTAAGGGTGAGATCCTAGGCCTCACTCAGAGACTTTGTGATTGTAGGCTCTGGGGAAAGGGCTGTGGAATCTACTATTGTTAACTTACCTCAAGGATGTTCATAGGGGATGACCTCGGTGGCAAACATAGTTCCTCAACCCCTGGAACAAGGAAAGTAAATCTGGAAAAGGGAGCTGTGTTTGGGGCCACGCCCTCAACCCCTGGGACAAGGCAAGTAACCCCTGGGAAAGAGGGACAAGTTTGGGGCCATGCCATGTCCTTGGCACATCCATTGGACCAGAATTCACATCCCTGACTTCTAGACTGGCATTCTTTCCTCCCTTCCCTTATTCAGAGTTAAAGGTTAGCCACATCACTGAGAAATCGAGTTTTCAGGTTTGCTGTTGGTTTCTGTCTTGTGACTTTGATGTCACTATTTTAGATATCTCGTTCTCAAACAGTCGTCAGCTGGCCCTTTGTTACGTAGATAATAGGTCTGATGGTGGAATCAGATTTTATGTTGTGTTTTACTTTAGCTTAGTTGATAACTGAGGTTTTACTTTATTATGGCCAGAGTGGGAGTGTTCTTGTAGACATGGGTATTGCTTTGTAGATCGCTCCAAGCCTTCAGCTGTTAAATACAAGTACTCCTTTTGGTTTAGTGACATATTTTCTCTTTTCTCGTTAGTTGGTTTTCTTTTTGGAGTGGTGAAAGTTGGATTTTGGTCTGTCGGGTTCCTTGGCTCTTTTCATTCCCACTCACAGACATTTCTGTTGAGATGTTTAGGGCCGGAGGGTCCCATCATGGCAGAGCATGTTCCTGAGTGCGTTGAGCCTTGCTCCTCTTCATGGTTATTGTATGCACTCCCCCCACCTTTTTTTTCCAGACAGGATTTCACTGTGTAGCCCTGGCCGTCCTGGAACTCACCCCATAGACCAGGCTGGTCTTCCAGAGGACCCAGGTTCAATTCCTAGCACCCACATGGCAGTTCATGCTTGTCTATAACTCCAGTTCCAGGATTTCTGACATCCTCACAGAGACATATGCAGGCAAAATGCCAATGAATATAAAATAAAAATAAATGTAAAAAACTTTTAAAACAATTCAATAGCAAATAAAAACATAAAATATGATATTGCCTCAGTGTGTTTTGTAGGGTTTCCTGGTTAATGGTATTTTAATTGTACCTAAATTTCCTAACCATTAAAATTAACTGGTCCTCACAAGAGTATGGAATGTTTCAGGACCTAAATGATTCTGAGGCCCTTTGAGGAACCAGCACTATATGGAACCCCCACAAAACCCGAGAAAAAAGGCCTGACAAGGTCCTTGCCCAATTCATCCAGACTGTACCCAGAAGAGCTGCTGTCTAACTCTAGGCACTAATCACACAAAAAGTTCCAAAAATCAAGGATGAGCTCTATTAGAATTTGGCTTATATTGTTCATTTCAAAAATTCAAAGGAAGCCGGCAGTGGTGACTCACGGGGAGGTAGGGAGCTGAGAGCAAGTGCCCTTTGTGGGATATATGCTGTTGAACCAGGCTAGGTGGGAGTGGGCAGTGGCAGTGCCAACCACTTCCCCTGTTTAGATTTTATTTACTTATCTATTTATTTTCAGACTTGATATGAGATTTATTAGTAAGCATGACTGATGGGGTGTGGGACTCAACACTGTGCAGGTCATCAGGGGTACGGCTCTGCCTCTTGTCCAGGCCACAGATGGGGATGTATTTGACCCCACAACCCTCAGGGATGAGCTACTTCTCAGCTACCATGCCTTCAAATTCACCTGCATTGAATAGTAAAGCCCTGCTTCTCTGAGATGTGGACCTTCTAGTGGCCAGGGACCTTGCACTTGGCTCTACACAGACCCTCAATCACATGTTCCTTACTCCACAGTTGGTGCAGATGAACCTGATGACTTGGTCAAGTTGCATGCCTGGGACTTTCCAGTGGCACCCACATACCTGTCTGGAGTCTGGGTTGGGCATAGAATTGAGGTCAGATACATGCATATCCGGCAGAAAACTCTCCAGAGTCCTTAGGGGAACCTGTACAAGCAGTAGGATGTATATACTCCAAGGAGGCTGCTCTTTGTAGCCATTGAATGCTATCCCCCACCCCCACACCGTCCATTGGCTTAACTGCCTGGAGCTCTCCCCTGTTTTATGTCAGTGCTGCCACTGATCATAAATACTATTATGACTGGGTTTTCGTCTCTCACACTCGGTGTCTTCTACTGATGCACTGTCAGACCTGGGCCTGAGTGATCCTTTTTGGCTTGGTCGGCCGTGGGAAGAATGCCGCTGCTTAACACAGTTAAGAAAAGTAGGGGTTCCCTTGAGTCTGCTTTGGATCGTAACTTATTTCTTTGATCCTAGTAGGAAATAGAGATGTTTCCTAACTCATATCATATGCAATCAGAAGTAATGTGAGCCAGGCAGGGTGGCACACCCCTAAAATCCTAGTGCTTCAGAGGCTGAGGCAGGAGCATGGTGATTTGAAGGTCAGCCTGTAAAGTACAGCAAGATCTTGTGTTAGAAAAAGAAAAGGAAAAAAAAAAGTGAAAATAAATAGAATCTGGGAGAGTTAATGCCTACTTAGTTATTTTTGTATTATGATAGTACTTTATTGATAATTGTATGTGGTGGCAAGAGCAGATTATGTTCCTCTGACTGTAACACAATTCCAGAGACTAGATGATTTGTACATCTGTCTGTTTTTCCCAGCTCTCCAGGCTGGGACGTCCAAGATCAGGGATTTGGTGTCTAGTAAAGGCTTTCTTACCTTGTCCTCATATGACAGAAAAGTGACAGGGCAAAAAAGAGCCTTAGGCTAGTTCCCTCCAGCCTGGCATAAGGGCCTGAGTCATTCTTGAGGCCACCCTCATGACCCGGCCTGCCCTGAGGGCCCCGGCTCTTAGTACCCCCATGGTGGGGATTAAGTTTCAACATGAATTTTTCATGGGTCAGTTCACAGTAGCAGTTTGCAGACCAGACTGGAGATTGATGGTCAGGGTTTGTCATGGTTGTATTGTCAGAATCTTATAAGAGACTAATTAGCGTAGCCCCCACCCCTTCTCTTTTATAAAACAGTTTTTCCTTATTTGTTCTCGGTGTTGGTACGTGTATATGTGTGCCCTGGTGCAATGTGACAGCCAGAAAATCCTTCCACCATGTGGGTACTGGGGATTGAATTCAGATCTCTTGGTGGCAACCTCCTTCACCCACTGGCCACCTCACCAACCCTCCTTGGCAATGTGGTTGAATTCTGGGCCCACCCTTTTCCGGCTGTTTGCTAATTTGACAAGCTGACTGCAATTTAGTCAATTAGACTAAATGTTCTAATTTCTCTAAAGTACAAATGTGAGAATTATAACTCTAGGTGACAGGAAGGGATAGCAAAGACAAAAAATATACAGAAAGTTTTCATGAGTTTTGAAAGCCCTTGGATGTCCCAGGTTTTAATACAAAAGGAAATTCTCAGATTACTCTGATAAAATGGTTTCAGCATTGATTATATCAAAAGTGTAAAAATAGTGATGTTCATAAAGCGAGTTTGTGTAACTTAGAGCAGTGTAATTGTGACACATTTGAGAGGCGTTCAGGAATCCGAAAACTGTCCTTGGGGTTAGCAGTTTCTTCTCTGAGATCTCTGTTCAGTGGTTCAAGGAAAGAAAAGGGTCATGTTGGCCTTGCTGTTCGCGTATGCTGTAACATTGCCTGTGAATGGCGAAACGACACATGGAGACAGGGCATAGAGGAGCATTCAGGGAATTAGAGATGTCAGCTAATTACAATCACTTAATGATAATTTTGAAGGCTGTGGGAAATGTAGGGTGATTATTTGTAAGGATTATAGACTTGTAAAAATATGCACATGCCTAGACTAGAAGGGAATGTGAAAAAGGAAAAGTTGTTGGTGGGTGTGGGTGGGGTGATCGTGGCTGATCTCTGCAGAAGTCTGCTTGTTAACTTTGCACAATGATACACTTGGAAAAACTTCAGATCTGCTAAGGACGTTATGTGTCCTGATCCTGGAAAACTCACCTTTGCTCATGCTGAGGAACTCAGTATTACTTCATTTCCCCTCGGAGCGTTTGATTGCTGACACAGATAGTTCTTTTACACATTGTAACTGTAGGGATGTAGTTTACCCCTTTACGGCACAGGAGCCAGTGAATTTTAGTGCATTCTCAAGGTCGTACAACCATCACTGCTGTCCTTTCAAAATGCTTCCATCCTCCCCCCACGAGAATTCCTACACCTGGAAGCAGTCACTCTCACTTCCTGCTCCCACAGTGTTGTCTCTGGTCTCTGCTCCCACATCTATCTGTTCTCTGTCTCTTGGTGACCCTATCCTGAACATGACATCTAAATGAAATGCAGCTCCTTTTCTCAGTAGAAGTACATTCCGTTCATGATACAATATGAATCAGTACCTCTTTTTGATGCCAAATATCTCATCTCAAGGATTTTTGTTGTTGTTGTTTTGTTTTTTTTTCAAGACAGGGTTTCTCTGTGTAGTCTTTGCTGCCTTGGAACTCACTCTGTAGACCAGGCTGGCCTTGAATTTACAGAGATCCTCCTGCTTCTGCCTACTGAGGGCTGGGATTATAGGCATACACCACCACCACCCAGTTCAGCTTAAGGATTTAACACATCTTGTTTATGCTTTTACCTGTGGGTATACATCTGTGTTGTTTGCATTTTTGCCATGGATAATGCTGCTGTGAATGTCGGTGCACAGGTTTTGGGTTGAAATAGGTTTTCAGTTCTCTTGGACAACTATGTAGGAGTCACATGGTTACTCAGTTGTTAACTTTGTGAGAAATTTCTAAGCTCTTTTCCAAAGTGACTGTCCCATTTTATATTCTTAGCAGCAGTTTGTGAGGCTCCAGTCTCTCCATATCTTTATGCTTGTTGCACACACACATGCTGTAGACGTGCTAGACAATGTGAAGTGGTATTTCCTGTGGCTTTGATTCGCATCTTTGCAGTTGTAGAGATGTTGAACATCTCTACTCGTGTTTGCAGCCACCATTATATCTTTGGGGGATGTCTGTGTAGTTTCTTTGCCCATTTCTTTATTTATGTTTTAAATTGTATGATAATGTCTGTGTACATTTGTGTGGGGGGTGTGTAAGTGAATCAGGTGCTCACAGGGATCAGCATCAGATTCCCTGGGGCTGGAGTAGCTGCTATTGATCTGCCTGACACAGTGTTGGGAACTGAACTCCAGCCCTCGGCAAGAGCAGTGTGTACTCTTAACTGCTGAACCATCTCCTTTTCAATTTTAAGAGCTCTTATTGTGTGTGGAATATTGGTCATTTATCAGTTATATGATGTGTAAATATAATTCCATTCTGTGAGTTGCCTTTTTACTTTGAAAAAGAAAGTCTTTAATGTTAGTAAAGCCAATTGGCCATTTTCCTCGAGTCATACTTTTGTGTCACGTGAAGCACAATTGCCAGGTCCACAGTCATGGAGATTTATGCTTATATTTTTGTCCTATGTTAGTTTTACAGTTTTGCACTCAGGTCTTTCATCTATCCTGAGTTAGTGTACCCAGGGTTAGGTGGGTCCCTTTCGTGCTCTGGAGTGTGGGAATCCAGTTGTCGGCGCACACTTGTTGAAAGACTATTCTTTTCCTATTGAATTGTCTTGACACCCTATAAAAATGAAGGCTTGTTTCTGAGCCTTAAATTCCTCTGCTGATCTTCTGAGGTTGGTACCACACTTTCTTGGTCCATGTTGCTTTTTAATGAGTTTTTAAATTGGGAAGTGTGCACCTTTCAGTTTTCATGGGCCCACTTGTCCGTTTCTGTGAAAGGGCTGGACTTTTTTTTGGTAAGGGCTCATAGCATCTTTAGGTCGGTTTGAAGAGCGTTGTGATGTTGATAGTGAGTCTTCATCCAGGAATGGGAATGTCCTCTTACTTGTTTAGGTCTTTCTTTTCGTTCAGTGCATTGTTGGTAGTTTCCTTTTGTTAAATTTATTACTAAGTATTTGATTTTATTTTTATACCACAGTAATGGAATTCTTTTATTAATTTTATTTTCCAGTTGTTCATAGCTAATATATAGAGATACAAGTGGTTTTGTACATTGATCTTACATTCTGCACCCTGTTGGACTTATTAGATAACAAATGGTTTTCAAAATAGAAAAATGTTTTTAAAAACACATGAACTTTTGAGGCCATCCTGGTCTACAGAGCAAGTTCCAAGATAGTTAGGGCTACAAAGAGAAACCCTGTCTTAAAAAAACCAAAGAAAATAAAAACAAACAAAAAATTATCTTATGAACTTTTTGGTCTGGAAGGATGGCTCAGTGGTTAAGAGTATTTGCTGCTCTCACAGAGGGTCTGCATTTGGTTCCTACCTTCCATTTGGAGGCTCACAGCCAACTATAACTCCAATTCTAAGGGGTCTGGTGTCATCTGCTAGCCTCCTTGGGCACCAGGCATGTATGTACATAGTTGCAGGCAAGCACTCATACACATGGAAATAAAACCTTTGAAATAGTTTTGAAAGCCGGACAGTGGTGGTGCATGCCTGTGGAGCATGATTAATAAAAACTCAGGGTCAGAAATGACAGTGCCTTCTGTAGAAGACCGCTCCCCAAGGGTTTGCTTTGCAGGGCTGGAAGAGGCCTGCCTGTTAGCTAGCACCTTTCCGTTTCCAGGTCAGTAGGAAAGAAAAGGAATCTCTGTAGTACTGAGAGAAATCCAGGTCTCAAGAGCACCAGGCCAACACGCTTGGAGCTATGTCCCAGCCTTTCCTTCCTTCCTTCCTTCCTTCCTTCCTTCCTTCCTTCCTTCCTTC